TATTTCTAATTAACTATAACTTCCTATTATATCTTGGTGAACCAATCACATTTTTTTTTTGCAAAAGAAAATTTAATTTAAGTAAGTTGGATCCTTCACAGGGGTCAGAATAAGTAATAACTTATGGGTTTAAACCCTTATCAATTGAATCAACTTTTGTGGGAACCGATCACATTGAATGACATGGACAAATAATGAATCAATTATATAGAATATTATTAAATTAGATGAGATTTAATATGATTATGGTGGTGAGGATGTAAAAGGGAAGAGAAGGAGGGACGTGGAATATAGAGGCACACATAGATGGAAGGGAATCTGGATATTTGGGAGCGTGTTGGGCGGAAGCATGACTAACCTCATATGCCTGTGTGGTCCATTTGGGTCCATCTCCACATTACTCCTCTTCTCCTCACTCCCATGCCTTGTCTCCCTCCCGCCGATTCCCCCTATCACAAAATAATTAATTCATCAACACTTCATATTCATCTCTCACTCAATGCATATATGCATGCAGGTTAATTGGTTAACCTAGCTACAAAACCTGAGCGCAGCATGAAGGTACAATCAAAGGGTGAAACGTTAATTAAATTTTGTGCAGATTGTATATGGCTGTACAAAAATGGTGAAGACGCATAAAAGTGACAGCAGCTACATATAAATACATCTGTCATTTTCTTTCATTCTCAATCAACCCCATGGAGAGGGACGATGAGGAGTGTCCGGTGAATTCCTTTTACAGAGCTGCACAGCGGAGTCATTAAATTGTGTGGGTACACTCTAGGAATTATATCAAAATGTTGAAATTCATAAAAGATAAAAGCAGTATCATTTGGTTAGATTCGGGCGACGTTTGATGGGAGGTATTGAAGCATATATGGTGAGAAGTAGAGGAAGATGTTGATTGCGTGTGATGGAGTTGCATATTAGCTGGATCTTGTGGTTCCAACCTAACGCACATGCTTCCTCCATATCTTCTTCCTTTGTTTTCTTCCCCCTTCTTCAATAACAATTAATCAACATGTGTCTTAATTGAGTGGATGTAAAGTCTCACGTCAGATAAAATTAAGTTTAATAATATATATATATATATATATATAAAGTTGAATGACTAATTAAGTTTAATAATATATATATATATATATATATATAAATATAAAGTTGAATGACTCATGATTATCAGGTGAAAAAAAAAAGACTCATGATTAAGTTCATCGGCTTAATCATCAAGCTATGCTTGGGTGTCCAAAAAACTTGCACCTCACATCATTTAAAATTGTTTAGATTAGGCTGGCACTATTTCTACAAGGGACTTTAGTAGAAGGTTTTAGGTTGGATAGAGGCGAGCTTGTAATTGAAATAATGTGGTATCGAGCCAACTTATATATATGTATGTATGTATTATCTTCTATCTTTCAGCCCATTTGGACCCTCTACATGAAGCAATTATATGGTTATGAAGCTTGAATATGACATATAGTCAAAAGATGTAAGATATGATCGTTTTTTAAAATTTGGAGATACGTATAATTGGGCATGTATATAGAGTTATATGACATAATCAACAAAACCAACACACTAAAAGTAAAAATGAGTTTTGAACACTGTGAAATAATTAAATTACTACATGAGTGAATAAAATATCTATAGTATCAGAAATAAAATCTTGGCTAGCTATTTTTTTCTGAAGTAACACATAAATACCATCAAATAAAAAAATACAAAAATATCTCATCCCTACAAATTAAACATCTATAAGACTTTTTTTCGTCCCACTTTAAAATATAAAAGAATCCCATTTTACTGTCAAATTATATGAAGTGATACAAATGGATACCAAATATCAACAAATGCTATGCATATCCAAAAAGTACAATACATATGAATATTGCACATGTGGTAAATCTCATATGAGCATCACTTTTTTTTAATTGGAAATATCAGTGCATTATAGATCTTAATCCAATGCACGCTGAAAACTAAAGAGAAAAATAAATGTTTTCTGGTAAAATGGAGATCGTATATTTTTGTGACAAATTATCAAATTTTTAGACGTGTGGATCTTATATATAACCATATTTTCTTGCATCACTGTCTCCTAGTGTATTCGACAACAAAGGCCACAGACTCCGTTATCTGATGTAAAAGTTCGTGGGAGCCCAGTATAGAATAAATGATTCCATGGGTCATTAGGGCCAGCTCAGTAGGCCCCCAGACTCCGTTATATGATTGGTCTGAGAGCTGGGCCTACATGGGCTGAAAGTCCAAAAATACAGTGGTTTGAGGCCCATAACATATTCTGATTCTGTGGGGTAAAAAAACTAATTTTGATTGGGAAGTGAAATGATCAAATATAATATTTTGGAAATGGTTACAAGTAAATGACATTTGTAAAACACTTACCAATTAAAACAAATATTGTAAGCCCTGGCAAACGTAAATATCTGAAGTTCATTCTATAATTTAGAAATAGAATTTCTCCGTAACAAAATTGACTGCAAATCTATCACTTACTCAATCGGATTTGACCTTTTTAATTAAGGAAGATTTAAGGTTTGGAAATTTTTTTACCAGAATTCCCTTTTTTTTTTTTGCAAGAACTGTTCCAAAAATTTTTGAACTTATGTTCATCAGTATTACTAATGTGTTTTAATGGTGGAAATAGCCAAAATTTTGATTACTTATTTTCACATCAAATTTATTTCCATCGTAACATTTTTTTTTTTGTGGTAAATTATCTAGTATTCAATTTAACGCCAGGACTACTTTGGATCGAAGCTGTACCACCAACTACTGCCACCTTTTTGAGAAATTGATTAAAAATCTCTGATTAAGTTAATATGACTCCCTTATTAGTTGAATCAACAGTTGGTAATATTTTCAACGTAACATTAAATATTCCTTTGGGTTTAAGGTCTCAAGTGTAGGAACTGATGGAAGAGTTTGTTTTGATCTCTAACGTAAGTCTCAATCTCTTTCATTTCCTACATTAACAATTTTTTTTTTTTTTATAAACTACCCTTATTTTGTTGCATAATCTTTTCACTGGAAATTAGTACTCCCTCCAGTCCTTCCATAAAAGTATTAGAACAAGTGAGTTTTTATCTTTTTTATAAGGCATCATATGGGATATTTACATTTGCCCCGAATCGCCCTTCTTGAATTGGTTTGTAGTTTTCAACCTTGGCTCATCCACTTAAAAATTTGGTTTAGATGAGGAGAAAAATGAGAGGAAAATATAAATAAGATAATACTAGGAGAGAAAATTTACAAAAATAATAATAATTGTTTTATTAATTTTTAGAAATTTTTTCTCCTTATTTTTCTCCCAGACTGTGTTTATAAGAATAAAGTTGAAAATGTTTCGAATTGTAAATAGAGTCAATAGATTTTAAACCTCCTTCCATTTCAATAAAAATATTGAAAATAACTTACAAGTCATTCTCCTGTTAAATATGCGGCATATTTTAAGAAAATTATTACAAATGAGTGATTCATTAATGATAATTGACTAACTTAATTGTCTTTAATTTACAAGAATTAGTCAATAGACCCATACATATATCTGTAAGTTTTTTTTTTTTGGCGGAATACATACATGAAAGTTTACTGATACTCCCTGAATTTTCATGTTGGGTTAATAAGTAAATTGTTCCTTAAATTTAGATCAATAACACTATAAATATGAACTCGTTTAACATGCAATTGGTCCCTCAATTTGACCACTAGTTGACTAGAACATAATAAGAAAATGACTTCAAAAATTGCATAAAAGGACCAAATGTATGTTTGGGATCCTTTATCATAATTTTTTTGGTCATTTTATATAATTTTAAGGTATTTTCTATCATTTTCTAGCAATTAATGGTCAAAATTAACTTTTATTAACAGCATAGATTAAACTGTATTATTTTTAAAAGTTGAGAAAATAATTTACATAATAAACAAGTTTAGGATTTATAGTGCTAGTTGACCTAAAGTTAAGGGATAATTACTTATTTAATCCTCTAGTACTTTTTCCATTTGTTTTTCCTCTTGGATTCTTTTTTACCCCAATTATTCATTGGGTTAATATACAATTTGAACTCTAAATAATAGATAATAAACAAGTTTAGGATTTATAGTGCTAGTTGACCTAAATTGAGGGATATTTACTTATTTATCCTCTAGTACTTTTCCATTTTTTTTCCTCTTGGATTCTTTTTTACCCAATTATTCATTGGGTTAATATACAATTTGAACTCTAAATAATAGGTTCAGAGATAATTTAAATCTTAAACTTTTAAAAGCTCTATTCTGAACCTTAAACAATTAAAAATCAGATAATTTTATCCCCCCCATTAATGTTTAATAAACATTTGTCAAATTGAGGCCTAATATATTATTTTTATTAAATGAGGGTAGGAAAGAGAAAGAGTGAAAATCCACATTAAGGCTCAATTAATGGATGTTTGTTGAAATTTTTAATAAGAGTAAAATTATCCAACCTTAATTGTTTTCGACTTTAACATGTATTTTTTCACCTTTTAAGGTACTCATCACTTCTAACCTTATAGTTCCACGGCTCCTTGTATCTTTCTCCATTATTCCCTCTCGGTCACTGCATTCACTTCCCCTTTTTCCCAGTTTACAGATTTTTTTTTTATTTGATTAGTACTCTTATATATGCGGGTATGATACGTAGATCTCATAATTTTTAAATTGTTACATTAATTAGAAAGAATGATGATTTTTTTAACAGCCATCGAGGTTGATCAAATTAATTAATTATAGTCATGAACTTTGCAATATTTTTTTGGCCGAACTGAAATATTTGTAATGAAAACTACAACATAATCGTGGCCGAAATGAAATATATGAAAACAATACAAATAATCGTGCATGATATTTTTTTTATATTTATTTATTTTGTATATCTCTCTAACTGCATTATATATAATAATTAATTTACGATTATGAATAATTCGAAATCGAAGAATAATAACCAAGAAACAAGTAGAAAATCACAAGGTGTTCCAATAATACTGAATTTAACTACTTACAGCAGAGTCAGAACTCAGAACTAATTTTGATTAAATCCCTTCCAAGATTGAGTAGCCTAATTAATGCCACTGCCAAGGGTTTATTAATCACTCAAAATCCAACATTAAGCTTCAATTACTAGCTAATTACGTTTCTTTTGTGCATGGAGCTGCTGGTCTCACCCACCTCTATCACTTGAGGCTTATATTCGTCCTCAACATCTTCCTTCACTCCTCTCTGCAATCCCATCAATTCTACCGACCTTTGGGACGATAAGAACAGAGCCTCTGACTGTGGAAGCGGCGGCAGCGGCGGCGGAGGAGACGGGACCACTGAAGGTAGTTTAGACAGTAAGGCCTCAAGGCTGCTCATTGAAGGACTCACTTTCAAGTATGGGTCATATGAAAGTTCATCAGGTTGCAGCCATTTTTGTTCTGAAACTCCATAACCTAGTGCACAAGAAAAGGAAGATGATGATGATGGGTGTGGCAATAGCACTCCTGGGATGCTCTCTATGTAGCTCAACTTTCTTCTTAACTGTACCACGTGGCTCGGGTCTTCTATCACCTTCTGAACTGATCCCAGTTGCATAACTCCTTCTCTTACACTAATCAGTGCTATGGTCTGCAATATATTTTTATGCATCGATCTTACAATGAAGGACGGTCTCTGTAAAAGCTGAAATGGGTTGTATTCTACCAGTTTCATACCTTTATGCCACATTGGAACTGAGCTTCCCAAGTCCTCGGATACTGTATATATAACAAATTAACACGAACAGTTGATGGGTTTAACACTGAATTTATTGAGGAAGCTAAGATCATATATATATGGGGTTTTTGATTTCTCACCGAATCTGCAGATGCTGAGACCAAGTTGATTTCTTGATCTTTAATAGGTTTGCTGTAGATCCACTTGTGGCTGTGATCTGCAGCAACTTTTCCTATTAACCTGCTGGCTCAAGAAACATATTAACTTTGCTTTGAAGATTTCCTGAGAAGATATGGGAATAATGCAGTGCAGTAATTGGGTAATTAGGTTACAGGTAATTGATATTTAGATATACTCACCCTTCTCCATAACTATAGATCTCATGTGACATCTTGAAGAACAGCTCAGGTTGCAACCCTTGATAGTAATTCCCATTATAAACAGATGATGAGGCTGCAAAATTGCAGAAACCATCTTCCCACGCCAATATCCTGCATGCACATTTAGTAACTGTAAATTAGTTTAAACAATATAATTACAATGAAGATGATTCAGAAACCAAAAGGCAGTACCAGTTCCTTCTGTTTCCTCTTGATCTGTCATAAGTCCCTTGACCTTCCCAATCCCACCTATTATTACCAATCCAACCATGAAACATATCATAAACTAATACTGTGATGGTGTCTTTCGTGTTTAACTGAGAAAATCTTCAAGCTTACTTGGGTGGAGGGTAGTTTCTAGGCAAGATCCTCCAGAAGATTGCATATACCCACTGGGAATTTTGATGGATGCACAAACTTCTCAGTGTGTGTTGAAGAAGATGTGTTGTAGCAGCCAATGGACTGACATGTTCCTCCATCATAGTCTTTAGTTATACAACCAATCACAGAAGCTATATCTGATCTTTCTTCTTCGCTTTCACTTTCACTATCATCTATCCTTTATATAAACCCACCAACAAGGAAAGTTCACATTTATTCCTCCACACACACACACACTCTTGTGTGGGGTATAGACTATAGAGGGTGAAAATTGAAAATTAATGTAATATCTTGTGGTTTTCTGGGACCCCCCCAGTCTGCTTCCTCCTCAGTTCCCAAATGGCCTCAGTTTTCAAGATCTTTCTTTGAAATTCATATTCACCCAAATTCATCATGTACAGCTGTCAGAAGCACAAAAAAAAAAAAGCAATGATACTCCCACAATAATATAACAATTATACTTGCGCATTAGACCATTTTAATTAGAGTCTTAGATCAAGCTTGCATAGATTCATTGATCTGGGGAAATTGATATGTATAGAGTATTACTCGTATTCTGTGTGCGCCTTTTTTCTCTTTCCCTCTTAACGCGTTCTGTAACTTCTGTTTCCTGACACTGTTTAAGGTAGCTACTGACTCTATCCCAGAAAAAGTTCCTGAACTGCAACCATATGTCAAATTCAATCCAAGCAGATCATAAATTTTGCAGAGGATAATTAACTTTTCATCTGAGATTTTGTTTGTCTTTTTTTCCCTTCTTTCCATCATTTAGTACATAATTATTATAACCTTGTGTGTGTGTGAGGAGAGTAGGTGCATGAAAGCGAAAGATCAACCTTGGATTAGTAGATAACTGTGTGACATACTGCTTTAGTGCTTTATTAATTATTACAGTGCAGGTAATAATAATTTCTAAGTCAAAATATTAAAAAATTACATTTTTTCTTACTTTACTGCTGTTTTTTGTTTTATGTAACAGAGATTCTAGTGGCCTTGGTGATGCCACAATGTGCGACAATATACGAGCGACTGGTCTGGGTACTTGCGGTCACCTGCAAAGAGTGATACATGGGCCTTGTTTGATCCTGTGTTACTTTTATGTTTTCGAAAATTGTTTTATAAAAAAAAAAATCATTGTTTGAATTTTCAATTTTTTTGGGTTTCATAATCACAATCATTACTTTGAATATAATAGATTGGATGATTATCACATCATAGTACATATATTACATGCGCACAAATGCACACTTCTTCCTCTGCACAATCTCGACCGAGAGCTTTCCTAGTGACTGATCTGACTAGAATTTATAATCTTCTTCGGACGCACCAGAAAACCTAGCTCGGCAGGCCATTATTGTCCTTCTTTTAATTTGATCATCCATACTCAAACCTCCTACTTAGAGTATTAATCACGAAGATCAAATACCTAAACAAAAAACTCGTTATTATTTACCATCTTCTACCACTACAAAAAGAGTTTATGCAAGCGCTTCTTTTTGACCTATGAAAGCTCTTTGATTTGGTGAAGCCCTATAGGAGCACTTATCTAAAGAAGCAGTGCTGAAGACTCTGCCTCTACTTTTAAGAGGATTTTCTTTCACGAGCGCTCTGATAAGAACGCTCTCACAGGTTTTTTTAGTAGTATCTATTTCTTCGAGTCTGTGTGTGTGTGTGTGTGTGGCGTCACAAACATGGATTGCTAGAGCCTAGATGTCTCCATGATTTACAATACGGATATATCAAACAACTTGCCTTATAGCGTCGTTTTTGTCTCCGCATGTGTATATGTTTGCTTGTACCAGAGAGAGAGAGAGAGAGAGAGAGAGAGAGAGAGAGAGAGAGAGAGACAGAGACGTGTTATGATAGTTTTAGGGTGTGTGCGCGCGTGAGAGAGAGAGAGAGAGAGGGAGGGAGAGGGAGAACAGTGGATCATTGAATTGTGCAAGTAATTGAGATGACGATAATATATAATAATGAAGGATTTAGTTAAAAAGGGCTAACTAAGCAAGCTCTATAGCTAAAGAGCTTGTTGTATATATAATCGTGTGTTTGGTTAGAATGCGATGGGATCAATTGTACACAAGGCATGAGAGACAAGACAGAAAGAGTTTGAGGGACTCTGAAAAAGGTGATGTAAGCATCACTTCATGAATGCCCTTTAGCTTTTATTGCCACAGAGCTGTGTTCCACTTGTCTTCAGTGTTTTTCAATTATTGTCACATAATATATACATGTATATATATATTCACATATGGATGACATTTATAGTTATTAAGGGATCTGAATTTTATGAGTATCCTAAATCCTCTCGCCACCCATCCATCAATAATTGTCCACATCATGACAGCCGTAATATTTCACCACGCGCTTGAAAAAAAAAAAATTCATGTTTAACTAGATATAAATGATATATTACATCGGGTTAAATAATAACAGTTTTATGAGAATGAATTTCAATCATTTTCTGTAGTCATATGTGTATTGTTGGATCGGGGCTATATGCCACAATAAAAGGTACAATTATGATTTACTGTTGACTCTAATATATCTTATATTCTTCGATGGTAGTTTGATTGTATATCGACGATTTTTATAGTGTCATGTAAGACACTCATTTAGTGAGAGGATTTAGAACAGTCATCAAATTTAAATATGTTGTATACTTATATATTAAAAAGGCCACACTAGAGTTGGCATGGCCAAGAACATTAGATGTTGAAACTGTAAGAAGGATTGCCTCATACTACATTTCTTGAATTGCGAGTGTCTGTTTTATCCGAGCAAAGAGGAAGAAACCAAACACATGCATTTATTATGAAAGTGTGGTTTGCTAATTAATTAATGTCTCTAGCAATGCGTGGGAGCTTAATTAATACTCTTTTGGAACGTTAATTTGGTGTCCGTTACTCTTTTGGGTGTGACGGTCAGGATTAGATTTTCCACACATATACTGGTTCACAACATGATTAACTTTAATTTAATTTGTTAGAAAAATTATATCTATATCTATATTAAGATTAATGTTGTGAATTATATTCTTCATGGGGTTTGCTTACATTTCTCGAGTGTAATAATTTAATATGATTTGTCAGAACAGAATCCAGCATAATCTCATTGCGTAAATACATAATTTGTATTTGTCGGTGGCATTATTATATGATATATGAAGAAGACCCTATAGGACTTTTATTATGCACCGTGAAGGTGTGTATGATATTCTTGAGAAACAACCAAGGTAGAATTAAAATTAAAACAAATAATTAAATATATAGTTAATTCAAAATAAATTAATTGCATGGACTAAAATAAAAAATTTAAATAAATAATGTAGGTGTTGGGTGGATGGAATTATACCCACTTTTATTATTAGTTGCTGCAGCCGACAAATATGGGTGGTAAAAAGCTGTAAAATTAAAGCGGAGAAAGCCACCCCATTGAAAGAAACGAAGCTGGATGCCACACGACACGACTTCTTCAATTTTGAATTTTGAAGATGGAACGCTACACTGAAGATCGTCAATATAAAGCACATTACGAAGATGTTTGATTAAATGGCCTGAAAATAAATATATAAATAAATAACAGCAAGGCATGCATTTACGTTTTACAGTTAACGATATTATATTTAATTTAATTTATTCAGGCCTCTAAATGATCGATGAGTGGTCCTTTTATATAAATAGCAGCATGCATTCACGTACGTACGTTTGCAGTAAAAGCATTGATCGCTAATACGAGTTCTATAGCATCGTGGCTAGTCACGGATACTTGTATGAGTAAGTTCATCTATGAGTCTGCTCTGCAAAAGTTAAATTTTTCTTATACACTGTAATTATTAATACTGAGCTAGCTGTGGAAACAGTAATGGTCTATGTCTCTAGATATAATTCAATATGGACATATAGTATACTTGAAAATTATAATTAAATGCACGACCCCATGAGAGTCAAACTGAAAGTGATTGATCAAGCTTTTAATATTGACAAGTAACATCCGCCACGTCCATACCCACAACAAACACAAATTAAATATTTTCAAGCTTCACTTCATGAAGGTGTTTCCTTATCTGCTGTTTTGTACACATGCGTGTGATATACAGTCATGTTCAACTCAGATTCTACACATTCCCATCATGAGTTATGTAGCTGCATTTGAGACAAAGGAGAACAGAACTAGTTGCACGCGAGGGAGGTCCACTTGTAGCCTTTGTATACATATTTATATATGTGTGTGTGTGCATGTATCTGAAGCATTGATATGTGGTGTTCCCCGGAAGGAGCTTTCAAGTTATAATTAAGGTGTATATATGATATCTTAGTTTGGCGTTAAGTGGGTCTTGCGTTGTGGGGTACGTAGAGATTGGGGCGAGCATGATTGTTTAGAATTCATTTAGTATATAGGTACGGGAGAGTATAGGTTTGAGGTTTGGAAACTTTAATTTTAATTAATTGCGCGTGTTGATAATGTGTGATGTCAACAAAAGTTGAAAAGACAGCACGATGCACACACTTAATGTTACACTATACCCTTTGTACACTATCATACAAATAAAATATAAAAAAATAAAGTATATAAAATTTTAAATACTTTTCATATAAAAAATTTAAAAATCATATCATATTATTTTTTTATCTCATAAAAAATAATTTTAAAAATATCTTTAAATATTATCTAAAAAAATCATACCATAACTTATAAATAAAATTAAATAAATATTTTAAAATGTGACTTGTAAATAAAATTGGATGAAGTAATCATTTATTTGGTTACATCAAGTCAGGTTATTATATATTTTTTGACTTTCAAAAAAATTTTAAAATTTATTAATTTTATTTTAAAATTAATAAATTTTTAACTTTCCTTATATTAAATATACCTATTTAATAATATTTTTTTCTAACATTTAATGAAAGTAAAAGAAAAATTATGTTAAAAATTTAATGAAAATTTATAAATGAAACTCAAATTTTTTTTTTTTAGTCTTACGAATAAAACTAGAGGAAATCTTGGGACAATGATTGTGTGTAGGATCAATTTTGACGTTAAATTTGGAAATCAATTAATATAATTGGCCATTATTTCTCTCCAGTGGCCTATATATAAGTTATTTTCAAAAATAAAGTGATAGGTTTTTATAAATCACTTAAACTAAAAAGATGATCATTCATTCATTTTTAAATTTTGTCTCTTATAGTTTTCTATGAATGGGGTAAAATATGTTATGTCTGAAGAGAGAAAAATTTTTAAATATGAAACATTTAATAATGATAAATTAATATTTTCTCCCAATTTAATCACCTCTATTTTTATATAGGATGGAAAGGAGTATATAATATTTAGATAAAATAAAAATATAAATAATGAGTATGGAAAATAAGTTCGCATGCAGTACAATAATGATACGAGAAAATGAAATTTGCGAAAAAGTTTTTAAGTGTGACTGTGAGGTAATGGAGGAGAGGCCGAGAGGGATAGAATGGCCATGTCATGCAGCTTGGGATCGGAGCTACCGTGGCTCAAGACATCAACGTGAGTGAGATTTATGGGTCTATCTAAGAAATTTTTGTTTTTTATAATTAATCATTGATTAGTTTATATGATGTATATAAGTGAGTTTGATATATATTATATAGTTTTAACATTACTCCCTCCATTAAAAAATATAAAATATTTTTAACTGAATCTCACCTCTCAATAAAATAATTATCCACTTTCAAACTAACCATATCTTTTTATATTTATCTTTATTAAATACTCTACAATAAATATAAAATCATTTATCAAAATGGACACTTAAAAAAAAAGCAATTATTACATTTAAATAAAAATATCTTATATTTTTTAACATCCAACTTTTTAAAAAATATCTTATATTTTTAAATAGATGGAGTAAATATTATCATAATGAACTTATGGATATTTTAACTTACATGCTCTATTTTCTAGTTGAATTTTTATTTAACTTGAGTTTTCTCCTGCTTATTCTCACATCAAGTCAAGCTCAACATCCTAACTCTAGCAAAACATGTTGAAGCCTGAGTTTGTTGAGTGAGAATATACGTTTATAGATAAAGTTAGTAATTCGGGCAAGCTAAATTTATTTAACCCTACCTAAATAAATTCAAACAAACAAAAAACTTATATAATTATGACCCTAACAATTTGGCTCTTTAGGATTGCTAACAAAAAACTCACATTATTATAGGCTTTCTCCTTATTTTCAAAGCTAATTTCAATTATTACCTTAAAATTAATCGTTGTTATTATAAAAATATTCCCTCCGTTAAAAAATATAAGATATTTTTAGTCAAATCTCACTTCTAATAAAGTAGTTATTTGCTTTTAAACTAACCTTATCTTTTCATATTTATTCTTATTAGACATCCTACAATAAATATAAAATCATTCATCAATAGGGGCACTTTTAAAAAAAGATAATAATTACACATCAAAAAATTAAAAATGTATTATATTTTTTAAACATCCAACTCCTTAAAAAATGTCTTACATTTTTCAATGAAGGGAGTATACATTTTTCAAAGACATTTAAAAAAATATAGAAGCCTCAAAATTTTGTTTAAGAAAAAACACTAGTCTTGAAATTAAAAAAATAAAAATCAAAATATAATTTTAAAATTATTCTAAGATATTTTACTAACTAGAAATGATAGAAATAAAATATGTTTCTTGTTAATTTTATTTAATAAAATATCAATAATAATGTACTCATACACACACATATTACTATCTATTCAAAAATATAAGACATTTTTAAGGGTTTGATATTAAAAAATGTAAAATATTTTTAGTATTTTAAGATACAATATTACTATTTTTTAAATTATTCCTAATGAATAAATTATTTTATATTTATTTTAAAATAAAAACTGTATTAAATAAAGGTAAATATAAAAAAATTTCTCAAAATATGAAAAGATTATGTTAGTTTAAAAAAGTAACTATTTTATGGGAGTTAATATTTGATTAAAAATATCTAACATTTTAAAAAAAAAAGGAGGTATAATCTTATAACGCAGAATAACTGGACTAAATCTTGACAATTAATTGATATTTAATACGCATTATATATTTAAAAAAAATTAGAAAGTTTGGGTGTTCAAGTAAAATCCGAGTTCGCTCAGCTTGGCCAAAATGTTTTTAAAACTATTTGAGCTCAAGGGTCACAAGTATCATCTTCCGAATCTGATGCCTAAATTTTGTTCCCTTCCTTATTTGAGCAGCTGGCCCCGTCAGACTTAACCGAATTGCCAGCTACAAATTAGAGGTGGGGCCTTAGTGGTGAGTGTCCCGAGATGAAAGAGTGGCGGTGGTTGAGTTGGGTGTACTCCCTGAGGCAATTCAAGATGGTGGGAAGAGGGGGAACATGGTCCCTGCGTGCTGGGACACCTCACAAACAAACACTCACCCGGAAAACCCGGGATGAGAGCCAGCTGTCCCCCACTCCCTCTCCAACCTCATTGGACTTTGATCCAAGGCCTTCTTCGTTGCTTGTTACGTTAAGCAATTGCGCTCTTTGTCCTTCAGGCAGCTTTGTGAGTTTTTGATCTAACGGCCGACATGGAAAGTGGATAAGAAATGAAGAGAACACAAATCCACGAACTACCAAATGTGAAAGAGCCCTCTTTTTATATTTCTCTTTTCGTGAGAGCAGTCAAGTCACACCAGAGAAAATTAAAAAAAAAATTGTATTGTTTAATTATTTATTTAGCACTGAATAAAAATCATATCATAATTCATCAGACCTTTCGACCTGGAAAATGGGGCCTCGTGTTAGAATTTGAGGGACTTTTATGTAACTCTTGTGTGAGTTAGTCTGTCAAAGGCCCATGAGATAAAATCCACGTCCCGAATTGGATCTAGTCACGTCACTATTTTATGAATAATTGTTATTATTCATGTGTCCAGTTTCCACATTGTTCCCCTGTTATTTTTTTAGCGGGCTTGGGAGTAGAAACTCTCCTCGTGTTTAAGCCCTAAGGCCTGTGGATTCACTTTCAGTTTTGGGTATACTGTTTAATAAACAATCCATGTTCGGAAAAAAGCACGAGTAACTATTAGCTAACTAAGCATGACTTTGTCCACAAGTGATGATTTGTTTTGCGGTCATCATGAAGATAGGAGAAGCTGAAAAATCCAAACAGCATAGATAACAATAGGAAAGCTAGCGAAGCAGAGAAGGAGCGAGAAAATTACAGACGAGAAGATCAATGGAGGAGATCAAAGTAGCAGCATTAATGGTAGCTGTTCAGTTTCGGAAGTGGGACTGAACACTCTGATCAAAGCAGCCACCTCCAAAGGGATGAGCGACTATGTTTTCGTCGTCTACTCAAACGCCATGGCTCTCTCTCTCCTCCTTCCTTCTTCCTTCCTCTATTACAGAAAACGACCTTCTCCCTCCATCACCGCCCCAATCATCTGCAGAATATTTCTTCTCAGCTTGCTCAGGTGAGAAAGAAAAAGTCTCTCTTTTACTTATCTGTACTCAAACTTGATGGTTTGCTTGTGGAATTTGTTTTGATTAGTTGTGCAGCGCAGACATTGACATATACTGGTGTTGGATATAGCTCTCCTGTTCTCGCTTCAGTCATGGCTGATCTCTCCCCAGCTTTTACCTTCCTTCTTGCCATCCTTTTCGGGTACGTAACGCCCACCATCTTTGAGCGCATGATTCAAGGTGAAAGCTGTAAGTAGAATTGATGACACCATATCTTTAACTCAAAATCTCAAGAAAGATCTATCTTTCTATTTTATTATGTAATTAGTTATTAAACCCAACATTATTGGAATAAGATGGAGTGACATGAAGGTAGTTTCAGGTATGAAAAACCAGACAGAAGTGAGGCAAGTGAGTAGTCACGCAAAGTGTATTGGTACAGTACTGTCAATTGTAGGAGCGTTAATGGTGACAATGTACAAAGGTGAGGCCAGTGGTGGAGGTTCGGAGTTGGAAGACAAAGCAAAGGGGCCAACGGGAGGAAGTTTCGTGTCAGAAGATGATAAGTGGCTTCTTGGAGGCACTCTACTTGCAGGTGGCAGCTTCTGCGTTTCACTGATCTTTAACGTTAAGGTTAGGGGTCAAGTTTAGTTTTCACTTGCGTGTTGTTGTGGCTTTTCTCATATTTTCCTTCTCTTTCCCAATTTCACGTGGGCCTGGTTTGCTTCAAAACCCTCCGATCATCATTGTTTAATTTAATTTACACACGTCATCATCGCTAACTCTCTTCGATCATGTTCTCTTCATTCGTCATTGTGTTTCTTGGCCACCTTATATCGCTGCTTTTATTGTTTATATATATATATATATATATATATATATTTGTCTTTCATCAACTCCCACGTGTTTTGATCGAGAAAAACAAAAATCATATAGTGGAGAATTACCCAGATATTTTCTGGAATTACGCTAAAACTTGCCGTTCATGCTTGTTTTGATTCAAATCCATTAATCTGCCCGTCGCAGATGATATTGCAAAAAATCTTCTTCCCTGATCCTTTATTCAGATTAAATTATACAATTTTTAAAAATTTAATATTAATGATATAAAACACAACATCATTATATTATATAGTAAACTACTAAACCATATCATTTATATATGATGATGAACAGTAGTGTAACTTGTTTGTTCAAACCCTGTAAACTGTATGGAGCTTGGTTGTTTATTACTATTATTATTATTATTATTACAAAAAGCTACATGCATGGAATCATACAATTAGTTACAAGCTCCTGTATATATATATAAGTGGAAAGATCCATAAATATAATGTCAAACTCGTATATACGGATCTTCTTCAGTTTAGTCTTGCGTTGGGTATAAATTTTTCCTGCAATATTTTTGTAAGGGACGATCCATATTTTTGTGTGGAATAAAAAGAATGATACAAATCAGTTGATGCATGCATGCAGACATGGATAATGAAGGAGTATCCTGAAGTGGTAATGACAGCAACCATTTCATGCGGCTTGGTGGTGATGTTATCCACCATGGTTGCTCTTGTTGCTGAGAGAAATCATGCACAAGCATGGACCCTTCAACCTGATATGGAGTTGGCTGCTATATTATATCTGTAAGCATATATACAAGTTAGTTTTTGGCATATAATTATTCATTGATATGTGTAATACATACATACTTGCATACAGGGCCTTATTGTGGTATCAATGAGAAGCATAACGCATATATGGGCATGTGGAAAGAAGGGACCTGTGTACGTGGCCATGTTCACTCCTTTAGGAATGGTCATGGCACTTGCCATGGGACTTCTATTTCTGGGCGAATCTCTTTCTCTTGGAAGGTACGTACGTCGGCAAAATGCGTAGTTATATTACGCTACTGTGATAATGAAATTATGGCTGTTAATTATTTTTTATTGATTTTTTGATGACGCAGTGTGATTGGTGGTGGTGTAATATCTATTGGGTTTTATGGCGTTTTATGGGGACAGGCTCAACAGGAAAAAATGGCTTTTGAGACAAAAGTCATCTGTAGCTCTGTGTCGTCTTCTTCTAATGCAGTGCCTCTTCTGCAGAACCAGAGAGCGTGAACAGTGAAATCTCAATATGATCAGTTATTTTTCATGCTGATATATATATATATATATAATATTATATTTTGTCTTCATATATAGTAGCTGCTAGTTAGCTGCCTGGTTTAAGAGTTGCTAATAACGCAATTATTGATGGAAGTGTACTTAGCATACACGCAACCTGATTTTCCTGGATAGTTCAAAAAATTGCAACAATACTATAATGGACTGATCAACATGTCCAACAATGTCTAATGGGCCCTAGTGAATATGTGATTTACTGTAATTTTATGGTTGGATCAGATCAATTTTGGTTTGATTGATTAATGCTCTCTCTCTTTAAAAATACAAAACAATTTTGAAAAATAAAATTTTATTAATGATATTTTTTTAATATTGTCATTTAAATGGAGAGATAATTGAAATAATTATAGTGTAATGATCGATGAGTGAGTAAATTTAAAATCATGGGCATTTTTGAAAGTTTAATTTTTTTTTTTAAAACTAAATTTATAAAGTGTTATTATTGAGTTTTATTAATATACGTAAACCGGTCTCAAATTATTTTATAATTTGAGATTGAGAGTCAAGATTTAAGCCAATATAAGTTATAGCTCATAAGTCAGCAATTTTAAGTATTTTTTTAAATCTTTATTTTTCTAAAGGATTTATTTTTCCATTTATTTTATTATAATATATTGTGGGAGATGAAATCAATATCCAAATTAGAATTAATGAAAATGTTTCGAAACTATCACATTATATATTTAGTTTCATACAATGTTCAAATTCTCAGAAAAGCCTTTTTTTTTTTTTTTTTTGCCACCAGAACAACTGAAAAACTCATTTTGAGGCCAACGCAAGAGAAATTTATAATCAAACTAATCAAGTAAGTTTATTTTTTAGTTTTATTTAAATTTAACCAATTGAATTCAATTTAAATAGATTTAATCAGTTTCAATAATAACAAGCCCATCCCACTTGCTCACCCTATATAACAAAAACAAAGGGTATCTATGTAAAAAAAGAAAAGAAAAGAAAAGAAAAGAAGAAGGGGAAGATTAAGAATTAAGGAATGCAAATGATCTCTTGACAAAAAAAAAAAGAAGAATTTCTCATTTATTTTTCCCTCTATTTAATGATTAGCAATTAGAATTAAAAACTCACATATATTTGTAAGAGAGAATTATATTGAAATCTCACACAAAAAAATTAATTACTATAAGGTTTATTAATAATTAAATTAAATTTTATTAACAATACAGTCAGTTGTTAATGATGTTTAGTTCAGTTATTGATAGATCTTATAATAATTAATATTTTTTTTATGTAGAATTTGATTGTAATTCTCCCTATTTGAAATTTAAATCTAGTCATCCAAATATCACCCATGAGCAATGACAAAACCACATGTAACTGAGGGGGTCATATTTTATAATTTGCCTCTTCTTCTTTTTATAATTTACCTTTTATTTTAATATTTTAAACTTTAAACTTATTTTAATCTTACTTTTTATCTCAAAGCTAAAATCAATTTTTTAACTTAAATTTTAGTAAATATTAACCATAAATTTATCATGTGTAAATATTAATATTATTTATTAATTCTCTAAAAATGAAAAAAAAAACTTAATTTAACTAAATTACGCTCGTGTCATTCTTATCTTGAATAGTAGTCAAAGACTAGTTAAAAAAACAATAAAAAATAAAAATTCAAGACTTAAAAGTAACTTTATTAAATGCCTTTCACTAATTTACTATTCTTGCACTTGCACAACTAAAGGTTAAATTAAACATAAAAAAATAGTAAATTTAGAAGAGTGAAGAGACATAAATATTTTTCTTGTGCCACAGCTCACAGGTGTCTAATAGTTTTTTTTTTTTTTAAGAATGAAAATGTTTATTAAAAATGCTATCTCTCCAAATTTCATATTTTACATCAAATCTAAAATCACATGATCACATCTGAACTAAACTCATATGATCGATCAAATCTAATGCTTGATGAGCCCATTAGTTTATAATTATTAATATTAATGTACTCTCTCTAATTTTACAATGAGTCATTTTTTACAGAAAAAATGACAATGAAATTCTTTTGAAATGTACAAATAATAAGTTGCTTTCTCAAAATCATAATTTTTCTGAAGTCCTTAGAGACTTTCTATCATTAATGAATTTATATAATTATTAAATTATCCTCATTGAAAATAAATTATTCACAAGTTTTATTTAAATATTCACAACTTTCTTTTTTATATTCACAACAATGCAACAACATATAAAGAATTAACATGCGGAGTTGTGATTTTTTATTACATTATTGTAAATATAAGAAGGAAAGTTGTGAATATTTAAACCAAAATTTATGAATTATTTATTTTCAATAAGAGCAATTTAATAATTTATATAAACTCATTAATGATAAAAAAATTTTTAAAAATTTAAAAAAAATTATAACATTTTGAGAGATTAAATTATTATTTATACATTTTAGAAGAATTTTGTTATCATTTTTTCTTTTTTAAGTTTTAACTATTTCATCAAAAATGCAAAAGTAGTTAACTAATGCTATTAAAAATTTTAAATTTTTACTTTTATTTTTGAAAGAAGTAGCAAAGTTCAGGAAAAATGATAAAAAGATCTTTTTAAATTAAATTTTAAGTGTTAAATTTTAAAAATTTATAATTTAATATTTTAAGTTTGTAACTACGTTGTGATGAATTTATAATTTATTTTTTAAATTTTAACATAATTAAAAAATAAAAAATTATTTTTTCTGCTAAAATTTAAAATATGAGTTATAAATTTTTAAAATTTAATAATTAAAGATTAACTTAATCATTTTAATATATTTCTGTCATTCTCCCGAAAGTTTATTGTTAATCACGGGAATCAAATCTTAACGAGAGTAACGAAACAAAAGAGGTTGGCGCTTAAAAAAAAAAAAAAAAAAGGTTGGCGCGGAACTAATTAAAACGCGCATCATGATAGACATGAAGTTGACTTCCAAGTTTCACGAGCCTTTGGAATTTTGAGTTTTGGTTCCATTCAAACTCGGAAGCAGAATGGGGGTGGTGGTTCTGCCTTTTCTGGGATGATGATGGCCGAGTGTGCCCAGGTTGGCTTAATCATTGTCAGCAAATCAGTCATGTCTGAAGGGATGAGCAGCCTTGTTTTCGTCTTCTTCTCCAACTCCCTCGCTTCCCTCCTTCTGCTTCCTTCTTCCTTGCTTGTCCACAGGTATCTTCTCTTTCATCACATAACCCTAATGTTTATTCTATTGGATATCGCAGAATTGAACCTCACTTTATCAATATTTTCTTCTCTGGATTCTTGTTTTGAGTAGATCTCAACGTCCCCCAATCACAATTTCTACTCTCTGTGGATTCTTCTCACTCGGGTTGCTCGGGTAATTTGATTCCAGCTTTATTCCACACGCATATCAAAATTCAAGTGTGGTAAATTTGGTCGCAATTTCGGTTTCTAATTTCTGGGATATGTATGTTATTTCGTTGGTTCTGATAGCGGTATTTCCTTTGGCCCCAGCTATTTGGCGCAGGTATTTGGGTATGCTGGGATTTACTACAGCTCTGCTATGCTCAGTTCGGCCTTGCTCAACCTTGTCCCTGGTTTTACATTCATCCTTGCTGTTGCTTTTGGGTTAATCTTCTCCGTCATGCAACTGAAAATTCTGGTTTTACATTTTCTGATGCTGTTTTATACTGTTATTGCCAACTCATATATTGATTCCTTAAGCCGAGACATGATAAAGTAGGAGTACACGGACCATATTGTGGATTTTCAATTTCATTGTGATCAGAGCGCTATCTTCCCTCTTGTGTGCTGGTGAACTGGATAGGGTCATGGCGTTTGAAAGAAATTACTGGTTGATACTGTGGACATTAGGTTGAAATAGCGAAATTTGGGTCTTTAAGATTTCTAAAATGGTTATGTTTGTCTTTTAGTTGAGGCATGTTTTAATTCACTCTTGTCTAAATAGTGCTTTTATCCTTATCCTTTTCCATATTTGCCTTGTAGAACAAATGATTCTCTTTCATTAGTCAGTTATGATATACGTAGTTATGCGCTCATGCCACTTTCACAGGAATAATGTGTTAAATCTTTTGTTGTTGTCACTCACAAGTTGCATAGACTGCAAGCCCATTTGCAATTTTGTAAGGCTTGCTTATAAATCACATCTTCTAGTGTCCATCACGTGGCTACTTCACATACAATCCGTTGAATCTGCTTATAAGCTGGCCTTGCATTGAAATGAGTCTGAATAACCTTGTTGCTGTTCAGACAAACTTTTGGGAGAGAACTGGTATTGTAAGGAGCCCCTTGCTGAATTGCTCATAAGATAAAAGTGAGGTTATCTGGTTTTCAAGGTTATATATATATATATATATATAATGGACTTTAGATAGTCAAATTTGCACTTAAAGTCAAGTGTACAGCAAAGGATGACATAGTTATCTTTTTGTTCAGTCTTTTAAAGGAATTTATTTATCTAAACTGAGCTGATTGAGCTTGGTGGTTTCAGGATGGAGAGGTTGAATTGGAGAAGTTATAGTAGCCTGGCTAAATCTCTCGGAACCATAATATCAATTGCTGGTGCATTTGTTGCAACTCTTTACAAAGGCCATCCACTTCTGACAAGGCTATTACCTTCAGACGTGTCTCAACTACAACTTTTCTCACAGGAGTCTAATTTTGTCTTGGAGGATTATTTCTTGCGGCAGATTGTGTGATGGCTTCAGTATATATTATTGCACAGGTAAAATCGTTAAGCAGTACTAAGAAAGCTTTCATGATAGTAATCCCTAAAAAATCTAACTGGAATTTATGATTTTGCAGGCTAAAATCGTGAAGAAATATCCAGCAGAGTTGATTGTAGTGTTCTTTTATTGTTTCTTTGTGGCCATTCTATCCGGCGTGACCTGCTTGTTTCTGGAAAGAGACGCAAGTGCATGGAGCTTACAGCCCAAGTCGAGATTGCTTTCAGTTCTGTACTCGGTAATGAAACTATAAATGACTCTAACCCTTCATTTGGATGGGGAAAAAAATAGAGAAGAAGGAAAACTAGGAGGGAGAATTCCTAAAAATAGTAAAAAAATTATTATTTTTGGAAATTTCTCCTTGTTTTCTCTCCTCCTTATTTTCTTCCCAATATTCTCTCCATCCAAAACAAGCCTAAATGTTACAAGTAATGATAACTACATGACATGACATAGCCACTCTGAGACCTCATTTGTGAACATGTTCAGGGGGTGTTTGGTTCTGCATTTCAAGTCGGTGTTACTACGTGGTGTCTCCACCAGACAGGACCTGTTTTTGTCTCTATGTTTAAGCCCATAGGAATTGTCATCTCAGTGGTTGCAGGTGTCATCTTCCTCGGAGAATCATTTTATCTTGGAAGGTAGTCTCTCTCTCTCTCTCTCTCTGTACACGCGCGCGCATATAGAAAGTATTATCATGGTGTTTGGTTGTATTGCTGAGGATACTGCCTCTAAGACATCGTTTTTTGAATTCCAATGCAGTTTGGTTGGTGCTATTGTGATAGTTGTTGGTTTCTATTCTGTGTTGTGGGGGAAAGCCAGAGATGTTGAGGATGGTGGCATGAGAATCTTAGAATCAAGTGGTGAAAACACTCCACTTTTGAAGTAAAATGATCAGCTTTAAGAGATACAGGAGAGGCTTCGTCTTCATTCGAATTTTTATCAGCGCAACTTCTAATGTTGTATAGCTCTGCAGAGTGAAAGAGTAAGCTCTGAGAGATATCTATTTATGTGTTGGGGCGAGGACTGAGACACTTGAAACAGAACTTTGTACTTTAAGCTTGTAAATATGATTTGTGTACCAAATCTTTCACTACACATACATGTACTTCATTTAGAAGTATGATTTCATTGTTATGAATGATGTAAAGAGGAGTTATTTTAAAATTGCTTGAATAAAAAATCAGTTTAAGTTTAAATGCTTTTATTTATTAGTATTTTTTATATGAAAAAGGTGCGCTTGAGTGGGTTTCCACAAGTGCTGATGCGGCCAAGTTTGAAATGAAAAATTGTAGAAAAATTTCTCAGATATTTCCAGGATAGCATGTCGTTTATATATTGTTTAATTAAAAAATTAAATCAAATAAAACGGGATTCATTTGATACTAAAATAATATATATTTTTATCGTAGAGTCTCATATTTTATCTAATATAGTTTTATCAGTAAATAATTAGAAAATTGTATGAGGTTGTACTTTATTATCTATTATAATTATAATATCATTACATGAATAAATTACATTGTTTGATTTAATTGTAGGGAACATTATGTATAAGTTTCGTGGAGTAGCCTTATTGTGTGAAATTTGAAAAACGTGGTTAGGTCTTTTGAAACTTAAGTGTAATTTAAAATTAGACTGTAAAGATGATAATATCCTTATAAAACATATATTACATTAATTAAATAATTAATTTACAATACTTCATCAGCAATTGATAATTATAATTATAATTTTTTACAATTATAATTTACATATTCAATAGTTAAATAATTATGTGTTATTAACAAAGTTTAACATTAATTGTTTACAATTACTTCATCAACAATTTATAAATATAACTTAAACCTTTACAATTATTACTTCATATATTTAATTGTTAAATTGATCGGTTTAACTATTAAATATATGGAGTTACAGTTGTAGAATATTAAAATTATAGTTGTAAATTGATGATAAAGTAAATATAAGTTATTTAATTAATGTAATGTATATATGCTTGATAGGGACATTATTATCTTTTTATTTTAATTTTAAATTATACTCAAATTCTAAAGTTTTTCGTTATAGTTTCTGAATTTGGCAAGATTTAATAAATAAATTAGTCCCACATAACCTATGTATAATATTTCCTTAATTGTATGCGCTTGTCGTCCTTTTGGACGGTTGGCTAGAATTAAAAAGCAACCATGAAAGGTTTTGAATTGTTTTTACTTTTTATTACGCCACAAAATTTAATAACATTTAAATAAATCTTGAAAAAATAAAAATGATGTTTTTGAGAAAACCCTTGAATAATTATCCCTTTTGTATATTGCGCAAGAAAACAATATCTAATTTTCCATATTTGGAAATATATATAAGGAGAACGGAAATTCATATTTGGAAACATTTGATTCATCTGGACCTCTCCAATTCTGATTTTTGGATTGGATTTGGACCTCTTTATATATTTATTGTATTAGTAAAAGTTAAAATATGTTGATGGATATTGATTTAATTAGCAAGAATTTGACTTACAATTTATAAAATGATAAGTTTAAATTTTATTATTTATATGCAAATCTTATTATTGGTAAGCGATCTATAACTAGTTTTATAAACATTCTTAGAGCTCGAAAACATTTTCCAACTTTAGTGAATCTTAAATTCAACTCACATAAACTTAATTAAAGAAGTTAAAATATTTATTTTATTTTTTATATTTTTATTTTACTTAATTATATGTTTCCTATGCTTGAGAACTTTACAAATTATTTATAAATTTTAGTGAATCCACATCCCTACCAATCACCTCATTTTACGAGTCATGAGCACCAACTTGATTGGTATTGGTACTCGCATAATTGCAATTAATCCTAGACGTAGATGATTTAATTTAAAAATTACATGCTTGTGATATTTTAATCAAAACAAACAAGAACTATGATGGATGATTTATCTTTTTCAACGATTTATATATATATATATATATATTTCAAACGGTTTTCTTAAGATTTAATCGAGTGTTTCTTCACTACACGCCAATTGGAAGAGAAGAATTCAAAAACTAATCGTTTAAATTGAAGGTAGGCCCTCCATGGTCTGAAATGCTCAAATGCCTACCACGAAAGCATTCTCCATCTTACCAAAAAAATCTTCCACCATTCATCTTTGTTTTTCTGTGGGGCAGTTAGATTCACAAAACTATGTTTGAATAAGCCACAGGATGCCATGCATTTAAATATATATTCCTCCATTCATCTTTATGTAACTTATTTTCTTGAAAAAAATTGATAGTGTTTTTTATAAATCAATTTGTATGAAAAGATTGATTATTAATTATTGTCTTTTAATTTCATCCTTTTATAATTTACTATAAGTATGATAAGATGTTGCATATAAGAGATGGCTATTTTAAAATTTGTGTTTTTAATAAGACTAAAATAAAAAATATATTTCTAAACAATATCAATAATTTACTTATCTTGCTGGTTTCCGTGATGCATTACAAATAACTTGTAGTTGTCGTATTTATTATTATAACACATTTTTCTAAAAAAAATATAATGTTAAAAAATATAAGATATTTTGAATTTTTTAAGGTGTAATTAATAATTTTTTTAAAAAATACTCTTAATTAGATATATAATTAATAAATTTTTTTAATTAAAATATCCTATTAAATAAAAGTAAACATGAAACGAGTCTGTAATTTTAAAAATAGTTAACATGTAATTCATTTAAACGTGCCTTCTAATACTGAAATGAGGGAGACTACCAAAGGAGTAAACAATAATTTTTTTTTTTTTTTGGGAATCTGACAGCAAAGAAATGACAGAGACCCAAAATTTATAAGAAAACATGAGTGGGGAGTGTGTTCGCGACATGGGTGATAAGAATTAACGATTTAAAACAGGGAATCTAATCGAGACGTCAGCTTTTGATCCCTTGTTTAATATTTAGGGACACTCGAGTAGCAGCTTCACTTAAAAGTAGCTTCACCACTCTGTGAAAGGCTGTCCCAATTCTCCATGCATCTTCTCTTCCTCCCTCTGTTTTTATACTCTGACAAGAATCATCAAACAAACAAATCAGTTCTCTCGCATAATTACAGGGTATAGGTTCTCAGACTCGGAAGTCTCTCTGACTATTATTAAGAGAACCCTTCTGTTTAGTAGCATATATAATTTGTCAGCCAAAGAAACAGAAGATTAATGGAGGCTAAGACCCAGATATGGGAAGTGATGCCATTTATAGTGATGGTCATCATGGAAGGATGCACTATTGGACTAACTATTTTCGCCAAAAGTGCCTTAACTAATGGACTGAGTCCTTTTGTGTTCATTGTATATGCTAATTCTCTGGCCACTTTAATACTCTTCCTCTTTTCCTTTCTAATGCACTCTAATGACAGATCTCTGCCGCCAACTTTCACTTTTTCCATGTTTATGAGATTCTTGTTCCTGGGTCTTACAGGGTATAGTCTCTTTCACAGTTTTATAATCTATATTCCATTTGAATGCACGTTCCGATGAATATTCATCACCTTTCTCTTCTGTTTTTTTTTTTTTTTTTTTTGCAATTGATGGGTTTTGCAGGATAACTATGACTCAGACATTTTCATTCCTGGGTCTTAGCTATAGTTCACCAATACTTGTATGTGCAATGGGTCACTTGATCCCCTCCTCCAATTTCCTCCTCTCTCTCATTCTCAGGTGGCTTTTGAATGTTTTAACAATCACTTTCTAGCGTGTCTTTTTACAATTTTCTGATGATAATCTGCTGAATCGACTTAACTGATACTGTCTAAAGGAAGAAATATGCAAACTTTAGAAGCTCTGCCATGTTATTCCAAGTGATGGGCACTCTGATTTCAATAATGGGAGCAGCTGTGTCTGAGTTCTTCAAGGGCCCACTTATAAGGCACTCTTCTCACCAACTTCGCCATGCTAAGCAATTTTTCGTCTTCTCTTCAGCACCAGAGTTTTGGATTCTTGGTGGAGTTTTGCTTGCTGCTGCTTCTTTCTCAGTTTCACTTTGGAATTTTATGCAGGTTGGAATCCTTTTTCATAAAATTCATGGGAATACACCTTTCAACTTGTAGCTTTAATCTGTATACCTTGATTTATGGTGATGCATGACCAAACTTTGTTCTTTGCTTTAGAAGGAAACTGTTAAGCTCTACCCAGAACCAATGAAGGTTATCTGTTATTATAACTTTCTTGGGACAATCCTAAGTGCAATAGTATCGTTGATGGTTGAGAGAGACTCAGATGCGTGGAAGCTAAAACACAAGATGGAGCTCATTCTCATTGTGTTAACTGTAAGCATTAGTTTATTATCATTTACATTCAAGAACATTTTTTAATGGCTGGAACAATGAATACTGACCAGAAGTTTGATTACATGGCATATCAAATCATTATATAGGCTTTATTTGGGGGTGTGATTCGCCCCACCATCCAAGTCTGGTTCACACGCCTGAAGGGTCCATTTTATTTTCAAGTGTTCAAACCCTTTGGCATTGCCTATGCAACTATTTGTGGGGTCACTTTCTTTCCAAATAGCCTTCATTACGGAAGGTACCTAGATTTTTCTAATATAAAATGTATATTATATATGTATATGTTCATGTTCAATGATATTTTTGTATTGGTAATAAAAATATAAAATATTTGTTGCAGTGTGGTAGGAGCAACCATAATTGGAATAGGGTATTATAGTGTGATATGGGGACAGATCAAGGAAGATGAAGACAAAATTGGCTGTGACGATAGCTCAGATTCCTTGGACAAGAAAGAGCCTCTGTTGCAAGAAAACAAGGAAATGGAAGTGTAGACAAAGCTTCATCAGAAGGCGAGGCCGGGGAAGTCAACTATTATCCAGAAGCTTCCTCTCTGTTCCCTTGTTATTGAAGCCCGGTGCTAGTGTGTATGGGATTGTCTTTGAGATTTCATCTGATGTAAAATGTAAATATTTGTAAAAGTTGTAATTGAAAGTGTCTATGTGATTAAAAATTTGGTCAGCCAGGGGACCAGCCATCCTTTTGTTTTTTTATTTGCCCTTCATCTTGCCTGCTACTATTTTTTATTCAGAGCATCAGAACCCTCATATCAGAACTTAGTTCTGCTCTCCACACAGGATTCAGTTAATTTGCTCATTCTCTTACCAAATTATATGTACATTTGCACAAGTTTCTGTATGAGAAATTGCCCAATTGAGTATTATGAGTGTCTCATGTTAGTGGTGTTCTAGATCTATAAAATTTTACTTCAATCTTTCATTTGCCTTTGTTTTGTTTTTTATGTCTCTTTTAGTTCTTTGCAGTGTTTCGAAAGCCAAATCGAACCTGATATCCGACCTATTTGACCGCCGCCCGTTGATCAAAACAGCCTGGTCCAATAGTTGAACCTGATTGACTCAGGTTGACCTGACTGGTTTTGAGAGAACTAGATGTGACTCAGAAACCAAGCGGGTCAACCTGATTCAAAGCCAAAAATTAAAAAAAAAAGAAGAAATTTAGGTCAAATTGCTCAGATTTACGTTTTTTTTTCTAATCTTCAGTTCTCTTTTATCTTATCTTATCTCATTTCTAATCTCTTTTTCACAACTTAGGCTTAATCTTTAACCTCTCCTCTAACTTTTGCCTCTAGCTCTAGTGATTAACATTTGACATCGAGATCGAAAGCTTATGAATCGTGAAATGATAGCATGCCTTTAGCTTCAACATTTTGCTTCGAGATCGCAAGCTTATGTCAACATACCTTTGCCTCTAGCTTCAGTGGTCCATGTTTAGCCTTTAATATCGAGATCTCAAGCACCATTGACAAATTAATATTTTATTTATATATTTATGCATATAAATATTATTTTTATTTAATTTTTATGTTGTCAGTTTGACCACCAATCTATCCGATTAAACTATAAAAACTGCGGCCCATTGTTCTTTTCAATCGACATCCTATTCGGGTTTCAAAACATTAATTCTTTATTTAGCTTTATAATTCGGTTATTATTTTTCTCAAAAGTAAAAGTTATTTTAGAAGTATCGTTTTATTTCTTCCAACTATTCAATTTAGGCGTACTCTTAAATCAGTATATAACGACAAAATATATAAGACGTCGCACTATTAATGAATTATTAGCCATGCAGCTTATCAGTTTTCGTATGATATTTCAGATCATGATTATTTCATGTCAGTGACATGTCAAGTAGTTTCATTATGTCATCAGAATCTAGCTATTGACTTGGGATGTGTTTCGGAGTCCAATAGGAACGCATAAAACACCCGTTTCCAAATTTAACAAATTAATTAATGGATCTAGAAAACCGTCAGGCACACAAACATATTCTTAGTCATTATTCCCTTGCAACTTCATTAAATTCTCAAACTCAATCATTAATGGGATAAACTGACCAAATAAAGTAGGACAATAGACTCATTAATACAATAAACATGAATGGAAAAAAACGACGTCCAGAGAACCAAACCCAGCATATATATCATCAAATGGGAAACGGTACAGCCACATTATTTATGAATCCGTTAGTTTACCAGTCGTCCAAAGATATCTGACCTCTTTATGCCTTTTGAATATAGGCATCCACCTCATGGAAGTTCTTGAGTGCAAACTCTTTGATCACGTCTGGATCAGGAACCTCATGGCTTGCCTTCTCATACTCACACCACCACTTCACTAGGGTCCCATCTCCCTTGGGCTCTAAACTCATGTGTGCCTTGAAAAGCTTGAAGTACATCAGCAAGTCTCCTTCAATCACAGTATAGGACAGCGTCTTCTTTGCATCATCCAGAGTATCAATCCTCTCTTTTGATGTCTTCACAATTGGAGATCCTGCAAGATAATACATAGACAGGCATGATCTTTCCTGTTACAAGGGTTTACTGTTAGAAGCATGCCGATTCTCTCAGAGACCAATGAACAAACAGGATGACTGCATCAGCAACAAGAAGAGAATTAATGTAAGTTGATAATATACCGTCACCGTAGGTGGTATGGCGGACAGAACCAACAGACTTGCCATCACCCTCAAGGATTTCAATGCTCTTATAGTCCTGAGGGAAGGCCTTGGGGAAGATAGTTGCAGAGTCTTTAATGGTAGCCCAGAACTTGTCAGCATGAGACTTCACGTGGACTTCAACCTCAAGCTTTCCAGTGGCAGCCATGGTGGTGTTGTGAAGGAGAATGGAATCAAGAAATGGAGAGAGATACAATGTGAGGAGATGAAAAATGAGGAAGAAGAATAAATAGGGATGAGACAGCAATTGAGGACAAGAGACACAATAAATTCATTAGAAACTGGTTGAACCACCACATTAAGAAGCGCCAGGGAAGAGAATGAAATTTGCAGGTAAATTGGTTGTGAGGAAATTGATGCTTGGGACCCCAGTAGCAATGTTGCCACGGATGGGTGGCTGAGAGTTGTGTATGATCAATTAAATCGTTTTAAAGCTTTTGTCCAAAAAACTAATTATTATTATTATTTGAAGCGCGTTTCCACAGTGTGTGCGATGAGTTATAATTACTGAAAAATTGCTTTCTTGGGCAAAAATAAAACCTTGAATTCTGGGCATTAGCCCTGGAACTTGGTTATCGGAATGGGGCTGACTGCATTATCCTTAAGCTACGACATTTATAAATTTATAAATTATTATTGTAATAATAATAAGTAGCGAATAATATGATTCATTTCAAACTTGTATTAATGTATGAGGGGTCTCTTCTTTAGTTACATCAATTATAAATTGTACTCCCTTGTTTCTATATATAAAAGAAAAAAATTATATCATACAATTTAAGAATGTTAGTTAACAATAATAATTATTTCTGAAAATAAAGAAATTAGATTAAAATGTCTTGTATTAATCAACATAAATATACATTAATTATTTCTCATTAATATAAATTATGAGGAGTGATTTAAGAAATATATAATAAATGCTTATTGAAAGATGTGATTTTACTTATATAAAAAAACAAGTAAAAAGTGATAGTTTTTTCCTACAAATAAAAACAAAAGAAGTATTTTATTATAAATAAATTAGTTTCTCCTACAAATAGAAACAGATGAAGTGTTTTATTATAAATAAATTGATAATATAATATCTTTTAAATTTGAAATCAAGATTTTTTGAATAGAACTTCATCTAATTAGAACTTATTTGTGTTCAATAAAAGTGTCATTTTTATTTTCCTTTTTCTTTAATTACTTCATTTTAATTAATTTGAAAAGATTCCCATTAAATTTCACAGATTACTCAGGTCATAGTCTTAATCTATATTATTTTCTTAAATTTGATAGATGTATTTCCCTCTATCTATTATTTAGATAAAAGAGTAAATTAATCCTTAAACTTGAGGTCCAAGAATATCTATGATCCTAAATTCATTATTTGTGTAATATTTCTCTTCAACTTTTGAAAAAGGTGTAATTTGGTTCTATTGTTAAAAAAAATTAAATTTAACCGTTAATTAACTAGAAAATGATAGAAAATTACTTCAAAAGTTACAAAAAAGATCAATAAAATTTTCTTAATCTTTTTTGTAGTTTTTGGGTTCTTTATTATAATTTTTGATATTTTTTGCAATTTTTTTAAATCATTTTTTGTCATTGTGCACCACTTTCAAAAGTTGGAGGACACTGTAATAAATAATGAGGATATTCTAAACACTTCTGGATCTATAATTTATAGGTCAATTTTCTCATTTTTCCTTATTATTTTGCAAATACATGCAAAATCCATGAATTATATAAAATTCTTGAGGCTTTTTTTACAGCTTTATTAAAAACTAAATCATAATTCTTTTGTGCCAAAAAAAAACTTTAATTGAAAAAAATTAATGATAAAAATTTTAAAAATAGACATCAAATAGTATAAAATAAATGATATTTTGCAATAAAAAAAGGTTAAATGGAACTTGTTCAACTAAGAACTAAACGTAAGAATGCGAGGTTGGTTTGCAAGTGCGTAACAACCTGGTAGCACTGTTGGTGATGTGGCCATGGTCATGCAAAACTATAATATGTTAATTTTAGTGAGAAATAGAAAATGGGCAGTCGAAATTAATTTAGCTATGAGATAGGCACGTCACGTCAATTTATTTTTATTCTACAATTTCTTTAAGGATTTTCGCATATATAATATATGTTAAGGATTAAATTAAATAAATAATTTAATATTTATTATATTTTATATTATGACTCATTTTTATATTTATCAATGATATACCATTCTTTATTAATGATAAACTTTTTGTGAATTTTAAATTTTTAATGATAAATTCATTATATATCCATAATAAACTATTTATACACAATATAAACTAACCATATTTTTAAATTTTTAAAAATTTAATTCATATTTTTTGGCTACAAGATTTTTTTTGACTAGTGGGCCATATTTATTTCTGTCTCAATTTATCCCAATTTAATTTTGGGAGAAAAAAAGTTAGGTCTTCAATTTTTTTTTAATAAAACTTGAATTGAAAATATTAATTTAAGCAGTTACCAATAAAAAGTTTTATTACAATTTAAGAGTTATATTGGATATTTAAATATTTTTTTTAATTGAATCTCTTTGATTTGTAATTGTTTAAATCAATATCTTCAACTTAACTTTGAAAAGAAAAACTGTCAAAGATTTATTGTTATTAATTTAATGTTTTAGGATCTAATTATTATTCTCTCTTTTAATTTTTGATTTGTGGATTATTAGTAGTCTTTAACCGTCTATATTGATCGTTGAAAGGATATTATTCAAATTTATGGTTTCATTTAATAAACCAGTAACTAGTCTTAATGGTAAGATGTTGATCTTGTTGGTGGGGGTTACTCTTTAAAGATCAACAAAAGTAGAGATGATGGAGAAGGTTGTGCACATATTTTTCAAGGCATGTTCAACACTTTACCTTATGTTTAATTCGCCCCGCTTATTTTAGTTTTTGAATGAAAGTTAAGTTGATCGTGAATTTCTTCATGATACAATAAAGACCATTGAATATGAAGTTCACTATCAATACTCAAGTCAAGACAACAAAAATTTTACAAAATAATAATTTGACTTCATCTCTTGTGCACTCAAAGAATAAAAGCAATGAGTTTCAATAGATACATGTACAAAATGAGTGTTTGTAAATGGTATTTATAAGTATTGAAGTGATGCCTTGAAGTAATACCTTTTAAATATAAAACTCTCATTAAAAATTATAACCAATGTTGGTTCATAATCCTTATATTGTTTAGGAATAATTTTATGTTAATTCATGAACATCCCCGCATAGTTTAATAATTAATATTAACAACTGGTTATTTATAATAATTTTTTTTTGAAAAGAAACATCATTTTAATATACGAAGAGACATAATCTCAGTGACTTTCACCTTTAGGTTTTTTTAACCTTCCAAATGTGCCTTTAGAATTTAGAGAGACATAATATTGAGAACTATAACTTTCTACATAATTGTTCATATTGCTTACCGCAAATGCACGGGTCGTAGTAAATAATATAATGAAAATAAAGTATTGTTTCCTCGAGAATTTGTTTAAACAATGATCAAACAAAAGATTAAGTGAGTTCAATCAAGTTGAGTCAAACATAATTAGATGAATATGATTTTGCAAACTAAATTAATACTAAAAAATAAAGAAAAATAACTTCAAACATAAATTGAGAGTTAGGATTATTTATCCCCTTATATCTCATAACACCAAATTACCTCCTCTCCTAAATGCTTTTAATGAAATAAGTGCTAATCTAGAGTTCTAAAAATACTTGGACAAGCTCTCTCAAGTCATGAACAAGTGTATAGGAACATAGTGTTAATCCATACAAGGGTTCTAAATAACTCTAGAACAAAGTGTTTAGCTACTCATCATAATCATCCAAAAGACAAATACATAAAATATTTAGACCCATATCAGAATATAAGAGAGAAAAGGGAAGAGGAACAAAAAAACTAAAGAAAATGAGCTCCAAATGTCTTCAAAACTCCATTCTCTTGGACCCAACTCTTTCAATGCCCAAATCCTAGCACATTAAGCTCCAAATGGTTGTTCAAAGTTTGAAGAATGCATTCTAGATTGAGTTCTCAGCATATATACGTCCTAGCCATTCAATTTTTGATAAATGAAACGTAGCGTTTTTCTGACAGCGGCAAAGTTACAACTTTGGGATGACTTTAGTAGTTTTGCACTGTTTTTGCAACTAACGAAAATTATTCATTTTGTGCTTGATTTTTTCATTTAAAAGCCTTCCAAAAACATCCATAAAGCTCCATAAATGCTTCTAATTAAAACTTCAACCAAAACATATGAAATTAAGCCAAAAATATCAAATCAAAGCCAAGAATACAAACACAAAATAAAATACACATTTTTTTAATTTGGGCAATAAAAACATATACAATTGAGCTAAAATAGATTAGAATATAAGGAAAATGTAATGAAATAATATGAAATTCTAGAGGTTAACAATTCACGAAAAATTCCTTAATTTATAAAGACATAAATTTTTAATTTATAAGGACATGACTTTTCAAAAAGACATCGCTTTATTTTGAAAATATTCCAACAATTCTCCACCATTTTCAAAATGATTACACAACTCTTATCATTTTGGAAATCTCATGTTTTCGGTAAAGATGTCTAAAAGACTTGAACCTTTACTTAGGAAAATATGGTTTCACCTATTTGAAATAATATGGTAGATAAAGCTTTCAACCAATTATACTATGTGAACAAGTGTGCTTAACTTACTTATAAGATCTCAAACTATTATATGCCACTTAAGTTGACACTCTTATTTGGCCTTGTGATCATATCCTTTTCATGAGATTTTTCAGAGTCAAGCCCTTAGACTCCTAAAAGCAACATCACTTTACTCTCATATAGGTAGACTCCGTTAAGAACACTACTATGATTAGTGCTCCATTAAATATATGCTTACAAGTCTATTGAGAGTCAAACCTCAACTTTTACCTTTTAGTCTCACGGTTACCTGTAACATCCCAATTTAAATTTTAATAATTAATTTGGGTTAATAGAAATTTTGAAAAAAATATTTAGAGGTAAGCAAATTATTAGGAGATGATTGTTAAATCTAATTAGGATATAATTCTAAATTAAAATAAAAAAAATAATTAATTAATTAAAAAAATTAAATATTATTATATTATTATTAAAAAAAAAAAGAAAATAAAATATATAAAAGAGAGAGAAGAAGAAGAAGAAGTGGCT